AGAGAGAGAGAGAGAGAGAGAGAGAGAGAGAGAGAGAGAGAGAGAGAGAGAGAGAGAGAGAGAGAGAGAGAGAGAGAGAGAGAGAGAGAGGAAGAAACAGAGGCATGCTTTACCAGGTGAGTACCTGGGTTGATCTCTTCCTAAGCTGCTTCATAGATCTGGGCAGCTGATAATGTGCCGAGTTTGAAATCAGTTTTAGCCTTTAGGGTAATGGACTCAGGGCGGGGGGTGAGGTATTCTTTCTTATCTGATTAAATTTTGTAAGACATCAGACGATTCAAGATTTTGTTTCAAGACGGGCCCAAGGAAACAGACAAAATGTTATGTTCTGTTCTTAGGCAAAACCATAGGAGTAAAAACTTCTCATTCAGCTCATTAGCTTGATTCAGCGGTCACGCACACAACTGAGCGGTAAAGTGGCAATTCGGGAAAACAAAATACCCCGGACTCCCCCATCCGGATCTTGGGAGTCAAGTTGTCAATACTAGGCAAACCCCCAGAGAACGATGGATGGTTATCAAGTCTTGTATTTGCCAAACTATCTCAATGGAACCACCAACACACATCCCTCTTCGGCCGTGCTTTGATAATTAATAATGTAGTTTTAGTCACCCTTCGGTATAAATTGGTCCTTCGGCATCTGAGCCCAGACGCCCTGAGAACCCTGAAGAGGAAGGTGGCAGCCTACTTATGGAGAGGAGACAGCGAAAACCCCCACGCTATAAGTAGAGTGGCGTGGGACTCAGTCATCCAACCCAAGGCGAAGGGAGGCCTTGGTACTTTGGACCCCCGCCAATCCCAAGCCCTCAGTCTACAATGGGTGTTACGTCTTATTTTCGACAACCCTTCAGTGTGGAGGCCGCTTGCACTAGAACAAATTGCTCGTCTTGCCCCCGAGGGCCCCCGGCCGTCCACCCCCTCCAGTGGTTAGACGACCGCTATTGGAAGATTCCACGGTGCCCCCGGGGAATGGTAGGAAGGAGAGACGATTTCTGGCCCCGTTTGCTAAAAATATGGAGGAAGCTTCCCCCCCCTAATCGTCCACCTCCCGACAGGTGGGAAGAGGTGGCAAGACAACCCCTCTTTGGGAACCGTTGGATCACTAACGAACAGAGCCAAATTTTTTGCAGCTCCGACTCCCCATGGAAAAGATGGGTGAAGAATGGCGTGACAAGAGTTGGCGACCTCTGGGACAAGGAAAGGAAGGATTGGAAGAGCCCGGAGAGGATGAGGGTGGAACTAAGGTACTGACACAATGTTGAGACAGCAGTTGAGGAAATAACGGAGGCCCTCCCGGTAGGGTGGTGGCCCATCCTGCTCCCGGTAGGGTGCTGGCCCATCCTGCGCAAAGGAAGGGTGGGTGGCCAAGGAAGGGGAAGGAAATAAGGTCGGCCTGGTCCACATGACCCGCTCGAAGGAGACGTTGATTGAATGGTTCAGTGTAGAAAGGAATGGTTGATTGGCAAGAAGCCGTGATCCCTTCCAATGGGTTGAGAAGGACGAGTTACACAGAATTCGGGTGCTAGAGGATGGAGAGAACAGGTGGACTTTCTTTCTTGAAATAGCCATAGAGGCCCTCCCCATTGATCCCTTGGAATGGGTCTGGAACTCTGATCCACGGACCAGTCAAAGGCAGCCCAAACCTAAAACCTTGTCCGGACTCACAGTCAAAGCAGCATATTGCATGCTCAGAGTTAAACGCTGCCTTACAGACACAGTGGTCGATCGATGGCAAAGACACCTCAACATAGAATGTCATCTGCTTACACCCATACGATGGTTTGGTGACACTTAAGAGTAAACCACCGAAAATCACATCACTGCAGTGGCAGATCCTGCACCGGTGTCTTCCCACCAATAATTGGTTGATTGATCACTCGCAGTTAGAACAACAAGGTCGAGCGCTCCCTTGACGCGATCGATGCCAGCAGGGTTTCCAGGCCAGAAAGAGTGCAGAAACAATCGAGCATATATTTCTACAATACCCCGCTGCCGTTCTTACCTGGAGGTGGTGGGATAGGGTGTGGCAACAGATGGTTCCCGGGCATCCATGGCCGTGGGATTGGCGTGCCATCTTATTGGGACACTACCCACCCTTCCAAGACAACATCTTCGTGCTGAACATGTTCCACCTGGCCCGACGAACGATTCTGTGGGTCCTGTGGTGGCAGCGATGCGCCTTGGCTCTAGACCACGTTCGGGTAGAGGGTGAAGAAAGGCTGGAGGAACTCAAAGAACACTTCCAACTGGAACTCTCTCATAGATGGCAAATATTGAAGCAAACACTAGACAACCTCCATAGAGCCACTGACATCCGAGAACGGCTCCTACAGTTTTCTACGGAGTGGCTGGGTGGGGACAGGGAGGGCTGGGTAGCGGAAATATGCTGGTCAGGGTCTTGGGATGGAAAGGGGGGGAGGGAGGGTGACCTCCGAGAGCAAGTGCCTAAGGACTACCAACTGAAATTTAAAGACTGGCTGACTGTAGACCCCAGTTTCCCCATGCGTCCTGCAGAAGATTTCCCAGACCCGTTCCCTCCACACCCATGGGCCCTGGAAATATGCCTATAGCTGGCCAATAATTCCCCAACGTTATGAAGCAGCCAAAGTCCCGTTTTCCTTTCCTCTTCCTTTTACTGTCTCTCTCCCTTTTCTTGCATCCCTGTCTAGGTAGTAGCCTGTCTCGCAGTCCCTCTGTTTGCCTTTTGTGAGAATCCCATTTTTTCTCTTTTTTCTTCTGTTCTCCTCCGCTCTGGTTAGCCTGTTAGTCTGTGTTCCAGCCTGACTAGGTGGCAGTCTGTGGCTCGGCCTATTTCAGTTTCAGTAATTTCTCGAGGGCATCCCTCTGCAAGCTCCAATACTCTGTTCTGAGGCAGTGTGGGTGTGTGGCAGCAAGGGGGGCGGTTAGAAAAGAGGGTCGAGGAGCGGCTTCTTTTGGAAAAGGGTGCAGGGAAGACGAGGGAGTCCCCACTGGTGCCCCCCAGTGGCTCCTCCCGGTCCCCTGACTAGGTACAAGGTTGGAGAGGGCGATGGCGACCATCTTGCTTCCACTTTGACACCTGCTCAGTCAATCCTCTGGTTTCCAGAGCAATCAATGCTGGCAGGCGTTCTCCAGACATTATCCAGACATCCATTTTTCCTTTCTTAAAAAAGAAAATATACTCTACAGGCATGCTCAGTCAATCCCCTGATTTGGAGGGCAATCAATGCTGGCAGGTCCCATCTTATATGCTCAGTCTCCCCAGATAATCCTAGACAGTCCTCAGACATTCTCAGACATTCTCAGACATTATTTGTTGTAATATGGGACGCTGGACCCGTTTTCCAGCAGGTGATGCTCCCCACCAATAGATGGAGCCTCTCCCTAGGTGTTAGTGGTGTCTGCTCTTATCAGCAGCACTAACACTGGCAGGGGCGTTTTTGTATTAAAAAAAAACAAAACAAAAAAAAAAAAAAACACTTGGTATTTCGTAAAGGAGAATTTGGTAAAGCAAAGCACTTGTAATTTCGTAAAGGCGAATAGCCAACGAATAGTAAAGATAATAACCAATGAACAAGTCCACATGATCACAGCATGAAAAGGGAGAGAGGATAAGCAGGATGGAACCGTGCTTTCATCAGATATGGGAGAAGGATGGTGTACTGCCATAAACGTCCATTCATGTACTGCCTGTGAATGCTTCTCACAGCTACTGTCTATCAGTGTGCGCTACTACCGTCTTCCTCCGAATACAACATATGGTCATTATCTCTGTATCAAGACTGAAAGTAGGCAGAAATACAGCTGTAATGACCATACTCTGTATTCGGGAGAAGATGGTAGTTCTAAAAATAGAATACTTAAGCTAAACGTTGTAGTGTTTTCTGCTTGATCACCAAAAAAACCATCTTCAGCAAACTCCTGGCACATAATTGTGATGGTGTCCGTATTCGTGAAAGTATCTAGATTGAAAGTAGGCACAAAAAATATCGATGTTCATCATGCTGATGTGCACCAAAAAGGGCGAGCTGTGAGTTCTGTATTGTTGTGTCTTAACTTGTCTCTTGTATTGACTTGTCTTGTTCAGACTTGGGAGGCTCGCCAAATATGCAAAATGAGAACGAATCTTCCGCTGGAACATGGGAAGATACGCCGCCAATTTTCTGTGTTTTTTGTGCGTGTGGTGAGTCGTGGAGCGAGGCCCATGGAAATGCTGCCCCTGAACCAGGAGATTGTACAATTCACAGCAGGTCCGGAGTCCGATCGCCTACCAGGCTACCACCTTACGCAAGGCAGATTCAGAGGTTCACTTCTGTCAAATCAAGTTCACTGCAGGTAATTGACAGGCTCCTTGGACCGGCCGGTGTCTTCTTTCTCCTTTTCACTTCCACAATCTTCACATCGACCCTCCTTGCTTCTGCCACAACTTGACCTCTCACTCCCACCTTGGCCCCAAGCCCCATTTCTCCCACTCCTGCCCGGTTATTGATTGCTCGTAGGCTATTAACCTGACATGGGACAGACGGGAAATGTGACGAGTATAGGCTGGCTACAGGGAGGGTGTCGGTTCGGGATCAGCTGACGGCTGCTGCTGTAGTGCATTGCAACACGACTCGGCGTCTATCTCACAACCTGAGGACTCGCAACAGTGAGTGCAAAGCAGATTCCATCCTCTTCCAGCTTCTTCAGGTCAGTAACCTGTGGCTGCTCGCGAATAAGTCTCGACAACGCCTCGTACTCGTCAGTGCTTCCACTCTCCAAGAATGCGCCAACAACCTTTCCATCCATCACCCAATACGCACCGAACTTTCCACCTGCAGGTGTCACGTTCGCGAGTCCCCAGACAACACAGTCACCGACGTTCTTACCAAAGAACTGCCAACGCATATCCAACATCCTGGAGTAGAAATATGGCACATAATCGTAATCGTCAATGACTCGGCATTCCTCCTGGGCTCTGATGGATTGTACGACATATTTCCCTGACATTCGCGCATGTCGCACGTGCCCTTGCAGTTGCATTTCATTTCCATACAACTTGATTGGAAAAGTCGCTACATCACCCACTGCATACACATCTGGCAAGCTTGTCTCGAGCCTCCCGTTTACCTGCACCAACCAGCTCCATCAGGAGAAGAGTTAGAATGGACCTTGCAAAGGGATGGAGTTAAGTGAGGGAGGGAATGAGGGAGGAGAGAAGGGGAGAGGAGGAGGTAGGAAGCATAGGCAGATAGCGTGGAAGGATTGCATGGGAAGAGGGCAAGGGTGGACGGGGGTAGGGGTCAAGCAGGAAGGAAGAGGAGGAAACGAGGGAATGCAGGGCTGAGAGAGATGTGAAGGAGAGAGAGAAGAAGCAAGGGGGCAAGGGAGGGAGAAAGGAGTGAGAGACGGAGGGAGGAGGGGGCAAAAGAGGGCAAGAGCGGAGGGGGGTATGGGTCAGGCAGGAAGGAAGAGCAGGGAGCGAGGGAATGCAGGGCTGAGAGAGATGTGATGGAGAGACAGAAGAAGCAAGGGGGCAAGGGAGGAAGAAAGGAGAGAGACGGAGGAAGGAGGGTGGTGCAAGAAGGAAGCACAAAGGAAGAAGGGAAGGGTGAACGGAAAAGGAAAAAACTAGAAAAACAGAGGGAACTACGAAATGCAGGCAAGCACGGAGGGAGGGAAGAAGGGTGAACAGAGGAGCAAAAAACTCGAAAAAGGGAGGCAGGAAAGAAGAAAGGCAGAGGGTATGAAGTGAGGGAAAACCAGGAGAGAAAGGGGAGTGGAGGTAGGGAGGGAGGAGGGAATGCACGAGGAAAGGAAAGAATAAAGAAGGGAGGGAGGGAGGAACGGACTGTGGGAGGGAGGGAGGTCAGGAGCCGAGAACGGAAGAGAAGACCTTGGGACACACCGGGAGGCAGGGACACAGGGACGAAGGAAGGAGGAAAGGAAGGCAGGCAGGAAGAAAAGAAAGAACGAGAGGGCAGCAAAGGAAGGACAGATGCGAGGCAGAGATGGAGGGATGGAGGGGAAGGAAAGAATAGGAAGAGAGGGAGAGAAGGTAATGAAAAGGAGCGAGGAAGGAAGGGGAAGAAGGGAATAAGAGGAGGGAAGGAAGAGTAGGACATCCATTAAAATTGGAACGATTCAGGGAAGATTAGCATGGCCCAGACGATTCTCAATAGTTAGCACAAAACTTGGTTGTCTTCTTCATAACCGGCGGCTATGGCTGCTCAGCTCAACAAGCAGGTAAGTCTCTCTCTTCTTCTCTCTCTCTCTCTCTCTCTCTCTCTCTCTCTCTCTCTCTCTCTCTCTCTCTCTCTCTCTCTCTNTCTCTCTCTCTCTCTCTCTCTCTCTCTCTCTCTCTCTCTCTCTCTCTCTCTCTCTCTCTCTCTCTCTCTCTCTCTCTCTCTCTCTCCCCCCAATTATGCTGCTTGCAAAGTCCTCACTCGTCTCTCAGAATGTCTTCTCCTCTCTCTCATACTACAGCTATGGCGCCCAGCGCCGTCAACTACTCAGCCCTACACTTTCCCTCACTAACTGCTCGCCACTCTAACGCACAAGACGGCAAGGCCGCTTCTGCATTGGATGCAAAACATTATGTGTCCAAGCCCAAGCGCTGGTGGACTTTTGTACTTGCTGTTCCGCCTTCCAGACTTCTTCTGCTGGTTATGGTTTGGTACCCTTGCCGTCATGTGCGGTTTCCAGAAGTGCATGGATTTCCCTTGGATCTGGCTGCTTGACGGGACTGATTGACACTTGGGCAAACCATAGCTGCTATCTTAGCTGCAACGTGGTTTGCCTACCTGTGAAGAGACTTTTGACCAGGGACTTCCCACCACAGCCTACTTAACTAGCCTAACTGCGCATCCGAACTCATCGTATGACAGAAAGCGGCTCTTCTGTAGTATTCAGGAATATTGTATGTGTGGCTGGAACCACTAATGGAACTCGGAATGGGACTTGGGACGAGGATCTGGGACTCAGGGCTGGGACTTAGGGCTGGGACTCAGGGCTGAAAGGGTTTCACCCAGTTCGTGCAGTAATTGTCGATGCCAGGACTAGATCCTTAGACCTGCCCTTACCCCTTGTACAGTCGTTCGTTGACCCTGTGTGTTTTGAACCCACGACCTGTCCTTAAAACCGTGTACAAATGCCTTGTGTGTGAAGCCCGGGTCGGGTGGATTTGACCCGTAGATCTGTTGTTCAGCAGTCTTAGGGTCAGTCCGGTGGTCTAGCTCTGTTTTCTTTGAAAGGCCAGTCAGTCGTGGCCTAGTCAGTCTTCGAAGAGTGACCTTTGACAGTCCTAAGGGGCAGTCCGTCAATCTCCAAAAGGTCAAGTGTCCCCAGTCCAGCCCCGAAGGGGCACAGGTATAGGCAGTCCCCGTCCAGCAGCAAGTACCAGGGTGGGACTACACATTCCTAGGGCCTGGGACCGGGAAGGCCAGACCACCAAGCGAAACAGTATAAATAAAGAGGCAGTGCCCAGCCATTCATTCATTCGCCTGCGAGCTACATGGAAGCGCTGCTTGAGTGACTTGTGCGTTGAGTCACAGGTGGTCAGCAGGAAGCCCGAAGGTGGAAGAGGGCGAGCGGCCATAGCTGCTAGTCCAGAGGAAGACGACGGAGGCCATAGCTGCCAGTGTGACAAAGTCAGCAGTTAGTGTGTGTGTGTGTATGCGTGCGTAGACTTTCAGGATAGATCCTAGTGTGTGTGTACGCGCGTATGAGGGTGTTTGACGGTGGACACAGTGTTTGAGAGGAAATTTCAGAATGGCGCTCAGACGCCATAGCCGCAAGATGTGACAAGTTGACTTGAGCTGAGTTTCTGGCCGAAGGCCATATCTCTGAGTTTTCTGGGCGGGCGCACTGCGCCATCTCAATCTTGTTGCTGATTCTGCTCCGAGGAAGTTGTTTTGCCATCGGCACCTGCATGTATGCATGTTGAAAGTGAAATCGAGACAAGTCTGATGCAGGACTAAGAGCTTGGACTCACAACTGGGACCTGGGACTCACGACTGAGACCTGGGACTCACTTCTGGGACCTGGGACTCAGGACTCAGGACTGAGACCTGAGACTTGGGAGTGGGAACTGGGTCTTGCGACTCAAGACTCCGTGAATCCTTTCATCTATTTTTCACACACAAAAAGAAAAAAAGGCCACACAACCCCAGCTCTTGAGGTAGGGATCCCAAGACACAATGTTATTTTGTACCTAGAAGCAAAGCGATCTCATACGCCTTACCTTATATCCACCTTGTTCAATAGCAAGCTGTTTCGGGAAGAGATAACTACATGGTCGTGCACCAACGCCAACCACCACCATGGCTGCAGGAAGCGAGGAGCCGTCCTTCAGCTTAACACCAGTCACCTGCAACAAGCCAATATCCCCTTCCCACCCCCTCCCCCTCGACAAAGAAAAGCCAACAGTCCCGCAATAGCTGGTGAATCTTGCTCATTGTGAGAAACAACTATCAAAGACTGCTGTCCATCTCCAGGCCAAGGGATTAGCTTCTTTGAGAAAAAAGGGGACAACAGGTTTTAAGTTTTAACTTTTAAGCCGGTAGTACATGGCCCCAGCCTTGTGGAGAATTGTTTGTCACCTACTCCTAAAAAAGTCGGAGCTGATGTGCCGTCAATAAAATATCATCGGCGGGCAGCGAATGAGAACATATACCTTGTGGGTCATTTGGAAGAGAAGATGCCAGGAAACAATTGGGAAGACAAGAGGCCCAGTGCAGGATCAAGAAACCGAGTACCATACAGACTGGGTCAAGACGAGGAGGGAGATAAAAAAGAACTTGTATAGAAAACGGGAAAAGGACAGAAGTCACAGAAATGTTCACCAAGGAGACACTGGGCTTGGGCAAAATAGGGGAAATGGCCGAAGAAAGGGTTAAATAATTAAATTTGACTGGGGCACGATGCTTCCGAGGAACACACAAGCACTACAACAGCAAGAGGAAACTGCGCTCCACAGCACGCCCGCCTCCGCCACCATCGGCCTCGAACCAGCGCAAGAGCCTGCCGGCCACAGCAAGAACGATCGACAAGGAAAGGGGGGACGACAAAGACAGCACCATCAAGTAGGTACAATGGGGACTCAGACCGCCCGTCACAAAAAGCAAGAAGAAGAAGGGGCACACAGGGCACAGCACAGCCCCAGAGCACAATCCCACAGATGGCAGAGACCAGACATTTCCCAGGGTTTAGGGTTTAAACCACCACTACACGGCCCCAGTCTTGCTGGAAAAGAAACTCGTCACCTACGAAAATCTCGGAGGCTCGGCCTACCGAGCCACAATGGCTTGTGGCGCCAGCCACAAAAGGAAAACAGTGCACCACTGGCGGTTCGGAAAAGCTTGGCGTGCAGTAAGGCACCTGCAGCCCCGGGTGTACTGGTGGTTTAAGCAGGCGGTCGCCTAGGGGCGGGCTGAGACGGAAAATGCTGGTCTGTTTTGGTGCAATTCTCTTTCCAGGGATATAGCTAATAGGGGGAGGGGGCTCCAAAGTGAGTGGGCAACAAGGGCGGTCAATCCTTCCTGCTCGGAAGCAATCAATGCTGTCAGGGCTCCCCGGGTCATAACGTGCGGAGGCGTTTGAATGGATATCGCTGTTGTGACTTGCAGGTAAATAAGGAACTGGACTGACGCTCCCCAGAATAGAAGGGGCATGGCCCAACAGAGCTCGTCCTTAAAAAAAAATAAAATTAATAATAATATAAATAATAAATATTAAATAAATTAATTAAAATTTAAATATAAATAAAAATAAAAAAATAACACCTCATTTTGACAGTATATGATTTGAGGTCTTATGGCTTGGACGATCCTTGTAATGAACCCAACTTCAGAAGCTCACAGTCAAATCTCGCATGAACTCACAAGGCTCGACCCAGAAAAGTTCACAGTACGCAGGGCTAGAGCGATAGTACATCCTTCCCAATTAAAAGAGGTAATCAATGACCATAACGAAGGGAAGCATTGAGTGAGTGCTCAATGTACGGGACGCTCTACATGGTTTCCTGTTTTTTTTTTTTTTTTTTTTCTTTTTTCTTTTCTTATAACTAGAAACTAGGTCCAGTGAAAATCAAACAGCATTCTTGAGCGCCCGCGCCGCCGGTTAGCGCAACCCCGTAGCATTAGCGCTCACGCGCTCGCGCCCACGCCACCCTCGCCCCGCCTCGTTTCGAATTCGAAGCGCGGAGACCCTCGCCCTGACGCGCGCGCCTCGCCCGCGTGCCCCATTGCCAGGCAGCGCGCCCGCCATCGTACGGCCACGCGCAACGGAGTAGCCCCCAGAAGCCATCACTCCAACGTACGCGCCACGCCCGCGTGCCACATCACCAGCCAGCGCACCCGCCACCGCGCGGCCAAAATCCGGAGCTTCAACCAGAGAGAGAGAGAGAGAGAGAGATTACAGGAGACTGATCCAGAGCTTCGACCACATCTCCATGCCAGCCACGTCCCCCATCACAAGAAAGCCGGTGGATCGCGACCCTAGAATCTCGCAGCTTCCGTCGCCATAGCCCTCTCCAGTACCCGCCAGCAGCTGAATTCAAGATTGCAGCCGAGGACTGCAGCCGCCACAAACTGACACCGGTAGGGAGTGGGGATTGGGATCGGGGGGGATTGGCGGAAGCGCCCACGCCACCCTTGCCCCGCCTCGTTTCGAATTCGAAGCGTGGAGACCCTCGCCCTGACGCGCGTGCCTCGCCCGCGTGCGCCATCGCCAGCCAGCGCGCCCGCCATCGTACGGCCACGCGCAACGGAGTAGCCCCCAGAGAAGCCATCACTCCAACGTACGCGCCACGCCCGCGTGCCACATCACCAGCCAGCTCACCTGCCACCACGCGGCCAAGCACAACGGAGGAGCCGCCAAGGAAACGAACGTCGGCCAGCCTACGCGCCCGAAGTAGGGACTACAGGAGACCAAGCCTGAACATCGACTACAGAGAGAGAGAGAGAGAGAGAGAGAGAGAGAGAGAGAGAGAGAGAGAGAGAGAGAGAGAGAGAGAGAGAGAGAGAGAGAGAGAGAGAGAG